GGGGAGCCATTTTTGACCCGCTGAACAGCTGATCGGCGGGTCGCAAAGCGAAGGTCGGTAAGCGAGCAGCTTACCGATCTTCGCTCTGCGATTTTCGCCCATTGGGGCCATCGTTGTGTGATCGCTTTAGCGATCGCAAAAGCGTCACCGTAGAGCGAATTCATCGCTCTACGGTGCGCTTGTTGTGCGAGGCACCACTGTACAGTATTGGCAATAGGCAGGGTGGATAAAAGTCAATGTTTTTTTTAAAGAAAATCAATTAAAATCATGATTTAAATGAAAAAATCATTTTTTTTAAAATCGCCAAAAATTCAGACTTTTAAAATTTAAATTTTGATTTAAATCATATTTATTTAAATCAGTTTGATTTAAATCAAACCCATCCTGGCAATAGGATTTTAGAGATAGCTTTTAGATGTGAAATTCCCTACATGAGGACATTTCTACTATGACTGAATTCCAAAAAGCTTAAGATTCTAGAAATCCCTAATCCTTCAGAATTAGAAGAAAGGCTTTTTCTGGATTTATCTGGTAAGACACAGTATTTGGAAGTGGTAAAGGTGTCGTCCATACACAGGATTCTCTTAGGACCCAGAATTTTGAAGCAACTGAAAAGCAATAGGAGTTGGATTCAGGGTTCTGTGTGGAAGCACTATTCATCAATTACTTCATAACTGTGTTTGTTTTTAGGTCCTGTCTCTATGGATAAAGTCCACTATTGTGAAAGATTCATTGAACTCATGATAGATCTGGAGGTATGTTGACAGTAGGGTAAATAACAAATTATGTACGATATAACCCAGGCTGCTTGATAATATAGGAAACTGCCTAAATACTGAATCAGGCCATTGGTCCATCTAGCTCAATGGTGGCGAACCTTTTTTATTGATTTATTTATTTGATTTATTTATTTGATTTATATCCCGCCTATCTGGACCCACGGCCCACTCTAGGCGGCTTGCGTGCCCAAACGGGAAAAAAAGAAAAAAGGAAAGAAAACACCCAGTGGGCGGAGTGGCGGCAGCAGAACCGGAAGGGGGAATCCCAGGCACGGAGGTGCCTCGAGACCCCACTCTGGATCTGCCACCAGTGCTAGCTGCTCCAGGTCCGCCTGCTAAGGCGCCAGCACTGCGGCTACAGCTGCCTTCTCAGGTTTGGCTGCACCGGGGGGGGGGTCGATTAGCAATCCCGCAATTTACGGCTTGCGTGCCGGCAGAAAGGGCTCCACGTGCCAGCTGTGGCGCACATGCCATAGGTTCACCATCTATGTATGACCTAGCTCAGTGTTTTCAGTGATGACCAGCAGCTGCTCCCCAGAGGTTCAGGCAGAATTCTTTCCTAGCCCTATCTGGAGATCCTTGGTGCTTCATGGTGGTCTTATGCTGACTCAGATTGTTGGTCCACCTCACTTTGCATTGTTTGTTCATTGACTGCAGTGGCTGTCCAGGATTCAGACAAAGTATTTGAACTGTAACTAAAATAGACAATGTTGTTTTTAGACCCTCAGAGATGCACTGTAATTGTGCATCTTTATTGTTCATGACGTGCGTTAAAAGCTGCTTTCAATAGTAATAAAGAGCATTAAGATTTAAACATGTAACTATGTCATAATGAGGTGGCCATACACTTAACAAACTATTTTTAAAGAATGAATCGTAGTGTGGAATTTTTTAAAAGGCTGTTGCAAAATAAAACACCTGCAGTAAGATGTGTCTTTAAAGATAATGGCTCACCAGAGCTGAATGAAACTCTGTTGATGTGCTAGCTTCTCCTGTGTTTTTTTTTTTTCCGTTGCTCATTATTTCCCTTCACAGAAGCCCAAGCTCTGTAACTCCCCTTTTGAGACGCGGCAACCAGAACTGTCATTGTGATTTCTCAAACAAGAAGGGGGAGAGGGGTTGTATTGTGATGGGAAAATGTCAGGAACAGAAAGAGCTTCCTATTTCAAGCAGCTTCCCTGTGGTGTCTACATCATGAGAAGCAGTCGTGCTCTTAAAATGGAAGCAGCGTAAATACTGATATTAGTAGTGTTCTCCAGGCTTTTCCAAAAGTTACTGTTAGAGGATACTGGTTATTTATTTTGATGGCATGCTTTTAAAATAATTTAAATTGGTCACAATGACCAGATAGGCTGGGGTATAAATGGAATAAATAAATAAATAAAATGATTTCAGTTCAAGAATCTTAGTTTTTACCCATATACAAGTCTCCAATAGTTGGAGTTTTTACCCATACAGTATATAAGTCTCCAATAGTTGGAGCCATTGACTTCAGCTGCTGTGAGCCACAGGGTTCTGTCCTCAGAGAGAGGGTTTGTTAGGTATGCAGCTGGGATGCTGGTGGATCTGAGCCAAAATGCCATGCAGAAGAACATTTCATGTTATTTCTTTCAGCGCTGAAGGCATTACAGGAGAGTTAAAAGAGTTCAGATAGTTTCTGAAGCTGATCAGAACTGGCAAACCAGAAATAGGCCATAAAAAGCCATCACATTGGTTCTCCTGTCCCATCTGAACTGAGAGTCTTTACATAGACTTGAGGTCTGTTTTCTCCCCCCAAGACATTTTACTGTTTCTTATTTGGTTGCATCTATATTATGGTAGAGGGTAAACTACTCAAACTTGTCCCCAATCAATGTTGACTTGGATAAAAACAAAACGTGAGTTCTGACCAGATTACTGCAATGGGAACAAATATAGTTGTTTCTCCTTTTTAGGGGTGAAAATCAGTACTGGGTGTTTAGTACTCGTAACTATGTTCTGCCCATCCAAAACCTGTTGAGAATCACAATCAAGGTGCCTTGACTTACGAACGTCCCTACTTACGACCATTTCGAGTTACAACCAGCTCCGGCCGCAAAATTTTGCTTCTACAGTAGTTGGGGAAAAGACGGGGAATTTAAATTACTAACCATTAGTCGGGGGAAAGGCTGCTTCTTTGTAGCTTTTTTGCCCCAATGGTTAGAGAGAATGCGTTGGAGGAGGTTTCGGACTGCCTGGTGCTGCTTTCTGCTTTTTAAAATGCCTGTTCTGAGTGAATACAGGGTTTTGCAGGGTGAGTTTGGGCTGGGCGGTGGGTTATGTTTCTGTACTATGATTTTTGTTTTGTTTTTGTGGTATGTGTGGTGTTTTTTGTTTTTTTGTTTTGTTTTGTTTTGTTTTTGATCCAGTGCATTCCGATGGGGCTTGCTGTGTTTATTTGGGTTTTTTTGGCGATTTTTCCGCCCAGCCCCAGCATGTTCCGATTGGGCTTGTTCTGTTTGTTTTTTTATTTGGTTATTTATTTATTTATTTATTTTGCCCCAGGGTGTTCTGATGGGGCTTGCTGTGTTTTGGTTTTTGGTGATTTTTTTTTCAGCCCCACCATGTTTGGATGGGGTTTGTTCTATTTGTTTGTTTGGGGTTTTTTTTCTGGCTCCAGCGCTTTCCGGTGGGGTTTGCTGTGGTTTTTTGTGATTTTCCCCCCGGCCCCAGTATATCCCAATGGGGCTTGCTGTGTGGTTTTGTTTTTTGGAGATTTTTTTCCCAGCCGGAACGGATTAATGGGGTTTCAATGCATTCCTATGGGAAACGGTGCTTTGACTTACGACCAATTCGAGTTACGACCATCTTCTGGAACAGATTAAGTTCGTAAGTCAAGGCACGACTTCAACTGTTGGTGGAAGCAAGTGGGTGTTTCATTGTTTTCCACTTGTATAACACACCTGTATTTCAGCCAATGGATTCTAAGAATTTTTCTACTTTTAAACCTTTCTGCCCCAACGTTGTTACACTCAAGGTTGTCATAATATACTGTTTTCTTTTCTAGGCTCTGCTTCCAACACGACGCTGGTTTAATACTGTACTAGATGATTCTCACCTTGTGGTGCATTGTTATTTATCCAGCCTAGCTAAAAGGGAAAAAGAAGGCCATCTTTTCTGTCAGGTGAGACTGGCTTTTATCCTTCATGGTACTTCCTTGAGTATCTCAAAAGATTTGCTAGCCAGGGTATTGCTATGGCAAAGGCTTAACACTTGCTGGCCTTCCTGGCATGTGATTATATTGGAGTTCACAACATAGTGGAGATTAGCTCATTGCCAGTCTCTTGCTGTCGTAGACTGGTTTTGCAGTACTGTGTAGAGAGAAAATACACTGTCCTTTCAGGAATTGCGCCTGTCCCATGAAGAGGCATAGGGGTCCGAGCTTGTCAGAATCCCGTTAAATGTTTTGTGGAACAAATTCAGAAAGTGCTCTTACACAATATTGTACTGAAAAATGGTTTCTTAAATTGTTCTTTCAGCTTTTAGACATGCTCAAGTTCTACACTGGCTTTGAAATTAATGATCAGACGGGAAATGCCTTGACAGAAAATGAGATGACCACAATTCACTATGATAGAATTACTTCCCTCCAGGTATTTAAAGCTGCTCATTTCAAAAGCTAAAAGTTTGCCAAGCCTTCTGTTGGCATGTCTTTTGTTCAGTCTCTTCTGCAGAAATTGCAAAATGTCATTGCTAGTACTTAATACATATTCTCATTCAGTTTAATTTAAAATTACTGAGAGCCTCACATAGACCTAATATTGGATACTTTGATATGGGGCTATGATAAATTAGAAAAAGACAGCTTACTTATAAGCCTAGGAATTATGCCTGGTATCAAATCATGCTACGTATATACTGCCCCATAGTGCTTAAAGCTCTCTCTAGGACAGTGGTCTGGGAACAGGGGTAAAGTACCCCAAATGGGGTAAAAATGAAAATCCTGGGGGTAATGAGCAAAACCTACCTTGCAGGATTTTGAGCATAACCTTCTTAGCAAAATGAGTGCAATTGTACGGTAGTTGGAGCATACTTTGGTACTGCCCTTCTTTGGGATTGGGATGTAGACTGATCTTTTCCAGTCCTCTGGCCACTGCTGAGTTTTCCATTGATGATGATTAAATCCTCTGCGAGCTAACAAAAATTTAATGCAACTTGCTAAGCACGTTGGACTCCTTACTACTCCCTATACCACACCATGGCTGGAGTACAATGTGTTCCAGCAAAAATAGTGCACTTATTAAATTTGGTGCATCCTGCTAGTTTGGTACATAGCCTGGCAACCATTAATACTTATGATATATCCTGCTAGTTCAGTACACAGCCTTTGTAGATTCAATAATATTTTGAATTCAAATAATGTATGATTTCCTTACTTTCAAATCAAGGGGGTAGTGTTGATGTTTATAAATTTTTTTGGGGGGTAAAAGGTAAAAAAGTTCCCAGACCCCTGCTCTAGGAGGTTTACAAATTAATTATCCAGGCTACACATAGCCCCCCGCCAGGTACTCAGTTTACTGACTTCAGAAGGATGGAAGGCTGAGAGAATCTCAAGCTGGCTACATGAGATTGAACCTGGACCATGAGCAGACGTTTTGCTGCAGTACTGCAGTTTAACCACTGCACCATGAAGCTCAAATTAGTGATCATCCTGGAAATTTTGAATGCTTGGACTACAACTTACTGAGGACATGAGACTGAAGATTTAGGTGTGCAGATATCAGTCAGTATAAGCCGTGGGGAACTGGAATCATTCTGGCACATCCTGCATAATGCACTAATCCTTTCCTGATATTTGCCCATTTGAAAATGTCCTGTTTGCATAGTATTCAGTCCAACAATCTATAACCTGTGGTCTGTACATCACAAGAGGCATGCAGAGAAGCTGGATGAGAGAGGGGTTTGGATGAAATGACATGTAAAATCACTCCCAGCTCTTCATATTGTGGGGGATAAGCCCAGATTATAACATGCACATCTATGCTAGTAGAAACATTTCCTTGTGACAGCCCATCCCGTGCCCTGAAAATGGAGATCCCTGAAAATCATTTAGAGGCTCCTTCCATATGGAGGACCTTTCTGTCCAGGGGATGCAGGAACTGGATTTAAAATCCAGCAAGTGAGCGTCAGATGTGATATAAGTCATGTGTGTATCACAGAGAAGGGAGGTTTAATCTTTAGACTCGGTTTGTCTGCACGCATCTTTGTCACAAAGTACATTTCTTTTTTCAGAAGGATCGGGGCCGGGTGGAGTGAAATGTCATTTGTCCAAAATTTTGAATCACATCTTAGCTTTGAGAGAGTTCTGTCGTGTACATCTGTGCTTCAGCAGTCTTTGTGATTCACCATTTGGCTTTTGACCAGTAGCTATGTTGAAGAAAAGTGGAATGATACATGCGTTGTGGAAGCTTCTGTCTTCTCCATAGTTATTACATGCTGGGAGAGGGACTTGTGACTTAGCCTTGTAGAACTTCTGAAACGGGAATGGAATACCTGGCCATTTTTAAGATGGGAAGATGTGCTTATGGCTCATGTCGTTTCAGCTGTGCTTGGAGGCTGTGCCAACTTGATCAAGTACAGGAGGGACAGTTCTTTGCCTCAGCCAGCTTATTGTTTGAAAATCCAGGAAAAAAGAAACAGCAGAGGAAAGGGAGGGAATGGGAATGCCATGCGATCTTGAGAAAGAAAGTGCCTCATAACAAGGAAGTATGTTATTGTGTGTTAACAGAAAATGAGGAATTGCCATCCTACTTTTCTCATCTCATAGCCTTTGCTCAGTATTGTCTCCCTAAGGTCTGTGCTTAGCCTGTTATGTTGCAGAGCATAACATGTGTTGAGTTGTTTGCTAAAGATTCTTTATATTCTTATCCCAATTCTTGGTTGATTTCTAGAGAGCTGCTTTTGCGCATTTCCCAGAACTCTACAATTTTGCGCTCTCAAATGTGTCTGCTGTAGATACGCGTGATTCCCTAGTAAAACTTTTTGGGCCTCTAAGGTAAGTTTATTATTTTCCAGCACCCACTAGTGTTTACTGATTTTATTTTGTGTACCGTATTTTACTGTGTATAAAATGACACTTTCCCCTAAAATAATGAGAGGAAAACTTGAGTGTCATTTTATACACGGAAGGAAGCAGTCACACATGCTCGGGTGCCTCTTGCTGCTGCTGCCCATTTGCCTCTTCCAGAGCTCATGGCTTGTCTCCTCTGGTGGCCCTGAGGCGGTGGCAGCAGAAGGAGGCAGAGACAAAGGTGAATGAGCATTCACACGTGCTCGGGCGCCTCTTGCTGCTGCTTCCCCCACTCGCCCGATCACCATCTCCAGTGGGGCTCAGCTCACATCGGCGCCTTGTCCCCTCCAGTGGTGGAGGCAGAGGCGGAGGCAAACAAGCACTCCTGGGCGCCTCTTCCTGCATCACCAGATAATCTCCTCCCACAATCTCCTTAAGGCAGGGGACAAGGCAGCGCCTGGAGGTGAGCCCCGGCAGTCGGCAGTCACACTGGAGGAGGTAATTGGGCGGGCAGCGGAGACAGCAGCAGCAGGAGACGGAGGTGGAGGAGCAGTTGCCCATTAACTGCTCCTTCACATCAATCAAGGGTCAAATTAGGGGGTTGTTTCATACATTGGGGAGGTTGTATACACTTTAAAATACGGTATGTCCATTTCCTATTAATCATGCTCTTCAAGCAACAGTTACAAGTGCTAATGATTTTTTAAACTAAGCCTAAATATTTTGTTAAATATTCTGGCTGAAGTGCTCAGTGAAGTAAATATTTCTGCCCTCCAGTTTTGTGAGCAGTGGATAAATTTTCTTACCTACGACCCCAAAAATTTGGGGAGATTATTGGCTTATTCCTCTCAAATTGGTGTAGAGTTTTAAATAAGGAAGATAATATGAGCATCTTAAAAGCAGAATTTCCTAGTGTATGTGTAAATGTTTATCTGTTCTGAAGCATACAGCTCTAAATGGTTTGGAATTTTGAATGTTGAAAGAAACTACATGTTTCCCTACATAGTTTGTTTGCTTGTCATTTTACAAAATGTCTTTGATTATAGGTTTTTCTACTTGTATTTTGTTAAAGAAGAGTCTGAATTGATAGGGCTCTGGTTTATTTGTAATTCTAAGCCAGGCTTTAGCGATTGAGAGACTCAAATCTCAGATCAAACCAAACACAAAGCTCATATATGCACACACAGCTCTTCTCCTTCCGCACACCTAGAAAGGACTACTTTTATGTTTCCCTTTTGCCTTACACAAATGCTGGCTTGTCCTATAGATTTGAATTAAAGGTTAAACCCTAGATTGTTTTGCTACTGTGGGCGACCAGAATTTATTTTAAATCAGAGTGAGCAAATTTGGAGGGTCTGGATCCCACTGCTGCCTGCATCGTGGATGAAATGCAAAAAAGAGGCATTTCTGGTTTCCAGAATTCAACGTTCAGTTTTATTTTGAGCCTTGGAGGGCCCAGAACCACTTTCTCTACTGAAAGGATTGGTCCTAGAGGGTTTAAGTTGCAGAAATGGGCCTCTTTTCCTATTCTTTTTTGTTCCTGGGGCCTGGTGGGCAGAACTGCATGCAGTGCACAGGCTACACTTTGCTGCAGCCTGTTTTAAATCACGATCTCTGACTTGAATGTAATGAGTAGTCGGTTTTTGTGAAAGGTGAGAGGCAAGCCAACAAGAGTCTTCCCTCAGCTACTCGAAAAGCAGAGCATAGAGCCCTGAGGCTTGGATCCAGTTCATTCGAGCCCATGCATCTAGTGCTGAACGCTGGTTTAGAGTTACGTGGGCACTGTTGGGTCCCTGGTGAAGAGCTTGAGTAGAGTTTAGAAGATCATTGTTTGAAACTCTTTAGTTTACCAGTCCCATAGGGTAGTTTTTTGGTCTTTTCTTTTTTACTTTCTTGGTGAAAATAAGACGTTAAAGAGCTTTCCTTCTGTTTCACAAGAACTGTATGACCCTTACATTTTGGCTTCATTGTTCAGTCCCAATACACTCCACCAGGTGGCCTCGTATCTCTGCTTATTGCCAGCCCTACCTGAAGGGGAAGATACAAGCTATGGAAAAGACGTTCTTCTGGAATTATTGGTAAATGTCACTAAGGTTTATTTTACTGCCTCTGTTTACTTGGAAGTGTTTTTGCATATCTGTTTGCACAATGATATTTGATGCTGAATAATCCATTGAGGCTTTTTATGAAAGGTCTGGAGGGTAGCAGCCTTTGAGGTGATCCCGGCAGTTGCCCTTCCTTTCCAGCTGCCCCTCACCGGCTGCTCTAGTGATTCCTGTGGCCAGAAGCAATAGTTTGGATTGGGCGACAGTGGAAAGAGACCATGGGAGGAGCCACAGGTCTCAAAAGCTCTGATGTGCTTCTTTTGTTTTCGTTTCTTTACATCCTAGTGCATCACTGGATACTTCCCATGCTCACAGAGGCCCTGATCAAACCCTGTTTGGACCACTTGTAGGCTTTTGGCTAACAAGCTCTCTTGAAAAATAGTTTTAAAACACCTATCCCGTCTCCAGCTGTTCATGATACGTAGTCAGCCAAGAGTAGTGACTGTCAGGGTGCCTAGATGTCCACATTGTGTTTCTGAGCACAAACATGTCTGAAGTTGTCGGTGTGCCTCTGTATGTAAAGAGATGACAGTGAATATCCAACATGTTTTGAATGTTAATGTTCAGAACACAAGAGAAGTCTTTTCCACACAATGTATTCATTTTCACATGACATATCATTTATAGGTGAGGTGATGTCCACTGGGCTAGATGGCTTTAAAAGGACGTAGGACAGATTAATAAAGGCTCATTTAATGTGTGGACAGTTACTTTTTTGCAAGGGGGGGAACTACCGCTCCATGGCTCCCCCCTAGCCAACATGGTCTGTGTCTGCTATGTAAAGCAAGCTGGCCTTTGGTCTTAGCCAACAGGCTTAAATCCTATTGCTAGTCCCAACGAGAGTAGACCTGTTGTTGTTTGTTGTTTTCGACTCTCTGGGCAGTTTCACAGCATAATAAAACAAAGAATTACTTGCCGGCCTTCACCCCAGTGAGGTGGGTACTCGTTTTACCAGCCTTGGAAGGATGAAAGTCTAAGTTGACCTTGAACTGGCTACTTGAACCCATTGGGATCAAAGTCTAGTCGTGATTGGAGGCTTAACTGCAGTTCTTCAGTTGAAACATTGTGCCATGGCCTATCAGTTGTTGAATGGCAAGTCAACACTTACATAAATCCCGTTTGTTCATTTCATCTACTCTGGTTTGGGACTAGCAATAGATCCTGACCCTTTATGTTTTTAATATTATAAATGTCTGACAATACATGTATCTTATCATTACTTCTTGGACATAAACAATTCATAGTTCAGATTTTTTGTTGATATGCTGTAGGTGACTTAATTTTCAATGTGTGCCTTATACAAGCTGGTGAAAAATCAAGGGTTCACAAAGTTCTTGGTCATCCCTCTTCGAACAGCAATAATTTCTCTTAGGATATATTGTAAAGGCTTCTATTTTCTAGGTGTCCCGGCATGAACGTCGAATTTCTCAAATTCAGCAGCTCAATCAGATGCCTTTATATCCCACCGAGAAGATTATTTGGGATGAAAATATTGTTCCAACTGAATACTATTCTGGAGAAGGTATCCTTGTTTAGAAGTATTTAGATTTTCTAAATATTCTACATATTTCCAGATCCTTATGCTTCATTCTGAGTTGGAGTAGTCACATGAATGGGAAAGTAACCAGTGCTTGGGGAAATTACTTTGTTGGACTGCTTGCTGGCTGGGATATTCTGGGGAATTGCACTGCAGAAAAGGCATGTTTCCAAGCTTATCAACTCTTTGTGAGTGACTGAACATTTAAGGCAATAAAGACTATCCTGCTCTAACAGGCTCTTCTTGTTTAATGTTTTTCTGTTCATCACTGCTAGTTAGTTTTATTATATACTTTAGTTAATCGCTTTGTGTGAGCTTTTAATGTTATTGTACATCTGAACTTCCCAAAGTGTGCGCCGTAGCCCCCGCGGCTGCTTGGTGCGCTGCCAAACCAGCCAGGAGCAACGTGGACGCTTTTCTTTGTTTTTTCACTGAGCTGGCAGCAGCTCCAGCTTCTTCATGCTTCTTTGTTTCCTGCGCCCCTCCGCACCCCTTAGCACTCTTCCTTTTCCCTGGATGCTTCCCCCTTAATTCAGGGAAGCAGCAAGTGAAAAAATCACTGTTGTATATCATTGCAGGTGCTTGTTAGGTGCAAAGTGCAGTGTTATCAATCCAGTTTAATAATAGTAGTAACAACAACAATAATTACATGTATAAGTGGTATAGATAGAAAAATATAATTCCTAGGATAAACGAAAGAGAACATTTTCATCCCCCATCCTTTTTTGGTCTTTCTTCTTGTCGTCTTAGGCTGTCTTGCCCTTCCGAAATTGAATTTACAGTTTCTGACTCTTCATGACTACCTCCTGCGAAATTTCAACCTCTTTCGTCTAGAATCTACTTATGAGATCAGACAGGACATTGAAGACAGTGTCAGCAGGATGAAGCCATGGTAATTAATGCAACTCTTGTTTCTAAATGACCAACTCAAGGAGGCTTTCCCCTGCTTATGATTTTTTTTGCGCTTGTTCTCTGACACTCCATCTGTTTACCTTAAATATTTCTTGGTCTATCAGAAATCATCATGATAAGAAGAATGATGGAGGAGTGTCCTTTCTTTTAAAGCGTTAGGCAAGTTTATATACTGTCGATAGAGAATTTCCCCATGCTCAAATATCTGCTCAGTATAAAACTGTGGCAAAAGTGTTGTTCTTTAATTCTGTTTGGGCTGTTTTTCCCTGACTTTGAGCAGTGAGGTTCATTGGTAGCCATGTGATACTTTCTAAAGCTTTCTGTACCTGTTTCAAAATGATTTCATTAACAAGTTTGTCATTTTTTGCGCCTCTGGGTCCTTAATTAATCTAGCACAACAATTGTTCCCTTTAATTTTCCAAACATCTTGCTCTTCAGGCAGTCTGAATACGGAGGTGTCGTCTTTGGTGGATGGGCTCGAATGGCACAGCCCATTGTCTCTTTCACAGTGATAGAGGTGTCAAAGCCCAACATAGGAGAAAATTGGCCCATGAGAGTCCGAGCAGATGTGACGGTGAACTTGAATGTGAGAGACAACATCAAGGATGAATGGGAAGGTGGGCTATGCATGCAGCTGCAACTAGGGAAATATATTTCTGTAAAGTCATTACCAGAATTGGCCCTATGTAGAGTGTTTGCTATTAAAATAGTGTCTGCTATAATCCACATTTTTTGGCATCCATGGCTTGGAACTGATCCCCCATGGATAAGGGAGTCGTACTGTAAGTTGCAATTAGAGTAGAGGCCCATTTCATTTGAATCAGTGGAACTAATGGAGGGGTTGACTCATCAGATCCCCATTGATTCATTGGGCCTAATCCAGTGCTATTTAGTATGTCAATCAACAGGATTTGGGCCATTATACATTTATTATGATATACCAATCAACTGTTATGAAGTTGCTGTTATAAGATTTTTATTGCTCAGAAAATGCGGAAGTGATGGGCAAAAAGGGGCATTCCTGGGAAGATTCCTGTTCCAAGCCCTGTTCTCCGCATTGAATTGGCTGCTGTCCTAGAACCAGTAATGGATGTGATAAGGACTGGAAGGTTTATAGTAAGCCATTACACAAAGCTTTAAAAACAGTATAATAACCTGTGATGTAGGACAGGTATTTGTTGTTTTGTTGAAGATTAGCAGGGATTTCCCTCTAGAGCTCCAACCTTGAGAAGGGGGGGGTGTCTCATTCCCAGAGAGAGGTGACAGATCCTGCATATGCAAAAAAAGGTGAGAGGTGGAGGATGGAAGAGTCAGCCTTGCGGTTCATGTCAGGGTGAAACATGCCTGTGAGGGCATTCGAGCTTCAGAGGAGATAAAAAGCTGGCCCTTGACCTCAAAGGATGGGGCCGGATCATTCACCACCTGGCACTGGAGTGGGACGTGATAAAGATGCTAAGAATCTTTCCTTGCCGTTTGTTACCAGTTGCCTGCACATTGTGAGCAAACGTGTTGGTTCTTCTCTTGACACAAAGGATTAGTCTTTTGCCTCCCACAGGGCTCACCTCAGGAAAACCAAGGTATTTCTGCTGCCCTTGCATGCCTTCCAGTTCTGTGTGAGGCAGCTGCCTGATTTTTTTTCCTTCCTTGCTGCCCTGGTGTGGTGAGAAGGTCTACTTACTCTATCCGGTCTGGGAGGCTCTCAGACTGGTAGGAATTGCTCTCATTGCTTCTGAGTGCAGCCCCCGTGAGGGAAAGAACCATCCACTCATCTTTACAAAACACTGCAAAGCAGTGTGCCTTGAAACATGGCAGTAGGCTAGCCCCTACCTCCTCTTCATGAGGCAGAAGACAGACAAGGACAAGAGGAATCAGGGAATCTGGTAAACACCAGTAAGGAGCTGCCTGTTAAAACAGGCCAATATTTTTTTACTTTATCTTAATGCCTCATTCTGCATTTTTGGCTGAGACTTCTAGCTAAGAAGTTGTCTATACATATATATAAATGAATATACACAGTGATAGCTAAGAAGACCAAAACGGAGTTTTCTTGGGTAACTGCATCAAATGTCTTTTTTTTTAAAAAGCAGTATTAGTACAGTCTGTAGTTGCTTTCATTGAACAAAATTGCCTGTCCTTTGAAACTATGTGTATAAAAACATTGTGCAGTAGTAAATGAGGCAAATGCATTTTTTTTCACTTTGTCATTTAGGTCTGCGCAAGCATGATGTGTGTTTTTTAGTTACTGTCCGACCCACACAACCTTATGGTACAAAGTTCGATAGAAGGCAACCGTTTGTTGAGCAGACTGGTTTGGTATACGTCAGGGGTTGTGAAATCCAGGGCATGTTGGATGATAAGGGACGCGTCATTGAAGAAGGTACGTTATTGCTTGAATCAGTTTTTGAAATGCGAACATGCGTTCTGCCACCTGTGGCTGTGGCAAGTGGGTATTTGTCAGATGTTCCCCATGCAGCACACATGTTTAGGACAGCTAAATACAAAAACCCTTAAGTATCGCATAAGCTTTTCAGGTGTATCTTCTAGTGGTGAAAAAAGAAACCTTGGTGCTTGCTTCACTCATACTGTGACACACACATGCACACACAGATACACCTTTGCTTACCCTCTTTTGAACAGCTGGATCCCCTGAAGAAGTGGTGGTTGGCTAGATAGCGTCTATGCTGGCACCCATTGCTACCTGAGAAAGGGAAATCCCCCTAGCAACGGAGCAGCTGTGCTTCCTGAAGTGTGTTCCTGTAGTGATGTGGTTTATAGAGGTGCAGGAAGAATCTGCTTTTGGGGTATCCTCACTCCTGGGAGTCTAATCCACGACAGATTATGCTACGAATAACTCAGAGTACACTAGACTCATAGTGAGATTGTGAAACTTAATTTGGAAATTGCTAATGTGGGCTTTTGTGAAAAAGGAATGAAGGAGAATTTAATGTGTATACCATGAAGGCAGAGATAGCTCTCCTCTGTTAGAGATCGGCTGATTCTCTGCCAGTGAATGTAATTTATTTCAATTCCATAGATTTGTTTACTTTATTCTTTTTGGCCATGCAGTCTATAGTTGTTGTTGTTTTAAACCTACCAAAGATGAGACTTAAGAAATTGGCTACTGTATCTGCTTAACTTTTTGAAATTAGTGGGGCTTCAAATATTTAAAGTTCAAATAAAGCTCTGGTCCATCATCTTTACGTGTGGAGGAAACGAGCTGGTAGAGTGACGATGGCGTGAAGAGTAAGTAGGAAGGAGCAGAGAATAAGTGATGGAACTGGCTTGCCTGGCGCATTCCTTTTATTCTTTGCCCATCTTTTTTCCCCTGTCAGAGTCAGCATAGCCTGTTCTTGGCAGCATGAGTGACTGGATGGGATAAAAAGTGGGGGGGGGGCAGTCCTGATAAGCAGGAAGAGAAGGAGGTGAGAGGAAAGAACTGGAATAAGTTAGAGGGGACTGGTGATAACCTGAACTGCTGCCTCAAATGCATTTGTACAAGTTGTTTTCTTTTATTTTTTTTGAGCAACATTGAACTTTATTGGTTTTCATTACAAGCAGGACCAGAACCCAAACCAAGGCTTAAAGGTGACTCGAGAACATTCAGAGTCTTCCTGGATCCTAATCAGTATCAACAGGACATGACCAATACCATCCAAAATGGAGCCGAAGATGTCTATGAGACATTTAATATAATAATGAGAAGAAAACCAAAAGAAAACAACTTTAAAGTAAGTTACAGCACTACTTTCCTTTCCTTTTTTGGCAAATAGTGATTGAAATTACTTGTTCCAAACACTGTTAAGTATTCTTCTGAAAATGAAAATCAAGCTTTCAGAGTTTTGAAAAGTTACTTACCAGCAGAATACAGTCAGTCAAACCGATAATACAGGAATGATGTGGTGGTATCGCTTCAATTTCCCATTTTTCTCATGTTAAGCAATAAGCCAATGGATTAGATTCAGCCTAGCTTCTTCCTGGAGAAGAGTTGCTCTATTCCTCCTTATTCGCATAATCCAAAACAGGGTAAGACAGTCTTACTTATGACAAATGTTGGTGGTGTGTCAAGCAGATAGCAGACAGCTTGATTTCTCCGTTGAGCCTGTAGGGAGAAAGATGTGAAAATTTGATGCAGTCTCCAAAATTAAATGAACATGACAGCGGCAGGAGCACAAACATAATGCAATAGCGAAGTGTGACAGTCGCATTTTGCTCTGGTAGACCCATCCTCTTGCCTTTTATTGCTTATGGCTACTCCATTAGTATTTTGGAGTTTGTTTTCCTTTTGTACTAATCACCCATTAAATAAATAGAGTTCTTGAAAGACAGGATGTTACCATTTTTATAGGTCACCTAACATAATCATGTGCCGTTAAAAAAAAATACAGCTCTTTCTTCCTCTTAAAATTGATGAGAAAGATGTTGCCAATCTGTGCAAAACTGTCCCTTTTCTTCTGTGATCATTAGATGGTCTCCATTTGATGCAGTATTAGGTGTATGCTGACACACCAACTTAAATAGTTTCGCAGATTCAAGTCAACGGACAACTTTGAAAGCAGAAGAGAATGAAGGTTAAATCTGCATAGAGCTTTTCATAGATTAAATTACACATTCAAGACAGAATAGGAGTCCTTAGCCATTTTAGATACTATTTCCTGGGTACTTTGGCTTACCTGTAGTCTCCTTCTGTATCTGTGAACTAAATGATTTATATGCCCCAGAAGATGCACAGTTTAGTTTATTGTTGTTAGCAGTTGCACAAGGTCACAGAAAAGAAAAAGCAATCATATTATTCCATTTGTACATGTACGTTGGTTGTGTATAAGCTATTAGAGACAACAGTGTTGCTGATATATGAGAACTGTCTTCATAATACTAATTGTTTTGATCTTCGTGTCTTGCTTCTTCAAACAGACTTGGTATTTGGGGTTGCTGTGGTTGGGGAGCAAGGCCACTGTTTGGTTCTTTTTCGTGGCCTCTGTGAATCACACCCTCATCAGAAGATTCTAGAGCTTGAAGAACTACAATTACAGGGACGTGGTGGCGCTGTGAGTTAAACCTCAGAAGCCTCTGTGCTGCAAGGTCAGAAGACCAGCAGCCATAAGATTGAATCCACATGACGGAGTGAGCTGCCGTTGCTTGTCCCAGCTCCTGCCAAGCTAGCAGTTTGAAAGCATGTAAATGCAAGTAGATAAATCAGTACCACCACAGTGGGAAGGTAACGGCACGCCATGTCTAGTCACACTGGCCACGTGACCACGGAAACTGTCTATGGACAAACGCTGGCTCTACGGCTTGGAGACAGGGATGAGCACTGTGCCCTAGAGCACTGGTTCTTAACCTTGGGTTACTCAGGAGTTTTGGACTGCAACTCCCAGAAGCCTTCATCACCAGCTGTCCTGACTGGGGTTTCTGGGAGTTGCAGTTCAAAAGCATCCAAGTAACAAAGGTTAAGAATCACTGCCCTAGAGTCAGACACGACTGGACTAAATGAAGCCAGCAATATAACCTGTCGTTATATTGCTGGCTTCAACCATCTGGGCCGTGCAGTTCTCTCTGCAGTGGTTTTTGGCTTGCCTTTGGCCAGCACATATGTCTATGTGCCTGTGGCATACACCTACCATTTCCTTCCCTCACAGTGCTTCTGACATCCCTCTGGGGCATAGCTCAGACAACAGAATGAATAACATCTTTGTCAAAGCTATCCATGAATAAGCAGGGGTGTTTTATCACCACTGTTCACTTGTGGACAGCTGCAGTATGCCATGGTATTCATTCTTAAAAGGAATATTCCACAACTTATTCTATGCATGGGACCTTTGAAGGCATGTCTAAGGAAGGATTAGTGTGAAAGGAGTTAACAGTAGTTTATGCTGGCTGTGCTTCCGTGCTGCAGAAGCAAAGCAGGAATGAAACCATGTCATCCCACGTACCTCAGCTATTGCTAAGATAAGGCCTGTGTGAGGGCAGAAACAAACTTGTCAGCAGTCCTGAGTTGGTTGTTTAAAAGAGTTTGAACCACCAGGAACTAGATAGACCAAACAGAAGTTTCAACTGTCTGACATTAATTTTCAGTTTTGAACTGCACTAATGTATGTGAATAAGCAAGGGATGGCTGTATCGTTTTGCCATTGAATAGATTTAGTTTTTCAAGTAATTCCTTTGTCCCAGTCTGACTGAGAGGTAGAAACCAAGTGGTCTTCAAGTATTATTGATTCTGTGCACATTTAAACTGGAGAAGGGCATGATTAAAGAAGCATCTTATGGTAAAAGAGTTCACTGTACTTCAGAATTTTGGCTAGTCTTACTGGCGGTATGTAATTTGGGGTCAACTGCAGTAGTCTTCTTCCTGAAGTCTTATGTGGCTGCCAGAGAACTAGAAGGGAGCATTTTGTATTTGATCATGCTTGCTTCCCTTGAGTTTATGCCTCTTTTCACTGAACCTTGGAAGAGTTCAAATTAGCACACACTGCTTGTGCCACTCTCAGGTCTGGCATAAAATAGTGTGACAGATCCCATAGCATATCTAGAGGTCAAACTCTTCTGTTCTATTTGGATTCGACAAATGCCTTTTCTTGCAATGCATGAGTAGATCTGCTTGTTTGTGCTTGGGTGTACTTGGCAGTTCCTGGTGACCGTTATACAGTACTTAAGGGCCACTGTTAAAATCACCAGTGTGCTGGTGTTATTTGCATTTCTGTGGCATTTTATATTCTGTGCCCACTGAAGCTATACTCCATGCATCTGACAAAGCAGGCTTATGCAGCATCGATTTTCACAATCTTTGAAGTTTGATGGGATTCTTCATTGCTTTTTATCAAAGAAGCTTCTCATGTAATGCTGAGCAGCAAGTGCTCATTAGTAGAGGACTGTGATCTTGTGTTGTTATTTTTTAAAATGAATACATGTATGTGTTACACACTTCAAACACTGTAATATTGCAGGCCAGGTTTGTATATTGCTATAGGTGGACTGTTGTGTGATCCTGTGAATTTACTGTCTGACTGGATACAGTCACTATTTTCTCCCAGAGACTTGCCCAAATTTTGTTGCTTAGTACAGTGGTGCCTCGCTAGACAGTTACCCCGCATGACAGTTTTTTCGCTAGACATTGACTTTTTGTGATCGCTATAGCGATTTGCAAAACAGTGATTCCTATGGGGGAATTTCGCTGGACAATGTTTGGTCCCTGCTTCACAAACCGATTTTCGCTAAACGACAATTTTGACAGCTCCCTCCGCACTCGCAAAACAGGTGTTTTTGGGACCTAAGCTTTGCAAGACATCGATTTCAACAGCTGATCAGCGGTTTGCAAAGCAGCTTTCCTATGGCCGATCTTCACTAGACAACGATGATTCTTCCCCATTGGAACGCATTAAACAGGTTTCAGTGCCTTCCAATGGGGAAGTGCTTTTTGCTAGACAATGATTTCTCTAAAGAGCGATTTCAGTGGAACGGATTATCATCGTCTAGCGAGGCACCACTGTATAGTAAATTGTGCTGTGTAGGCCTGTTAAATCAATGAGGTTTTAGTGAGGCAGTTCCTCGGTAAGCTTCATTGGTTTAAATGGGCCTACTCTAATTGTGACTTACCTTAGCATAGTAAATAGCAGTTAGAGTTGGCTCATTTGAGTCAGTGGAACTTAGCAGAGAATTGATTCACTAAATCCTCATTGGTTCAGTGCTCACTCTAAGGAGATGTACTACACTAAGCAACAATATTTTATCCGTTGATATGATTTGCAGCAGCATATTTCTGGGCCTTTATACTCTTGCAGATCTCTGTCATGAGTCAATAACTATGTTACCAGCACCTTAGATATTACTTCTTTCACATAGGTACTCCCTGAGGCTGCTCAGCCTGTCCTTAGTTGATGCAATCAATATTTGTCTGAATCACATCCCAGTAGAAGTGACAAAGTAGTCCTTTTAGACAAGGACAGTTATTTCTCAACATTTAATGCAGAGAAGTAACATTGAACTGGCTATATTCTGTGCACTGATGTGCTGAACATTGTTTTTAATGTTAGACAAGAGTAAGCACACTCTAGGACTCCCAGAACTAATTTTAATCCTTGAAGAGCAACTGCAGGCTATGGCTTGTTCCAAACTGTGACTGTATCACAACTGTTCTGAACCGCAGGGGAAGAGATATTCACTTCTGGTTTACCAAAAAAAAACAAAAAAACACAACCACAAAAAATGAGAAGTATGCATGTACACACATAAAAGAATTGCTGATGCTGAAGGTTTTCATGAACAGTGACTCTCCTTTTTCAGTTTCCCCTCTTGGAACGGGATACTGGCCTGGGAAGGTCTGGGATCTGCAGGCATAGCCCTCAGTTTTGTGGGCTGTGAAATACATATCCCGATAGAAGAACTTAGGATTTTGGAAAAGGTAGAAAGTGCCATTGAATTTTAAAATAAAATCTTTATTGCACTCAGTGGATACATTCAGATATAGTAATGAACTCTGATATACTGATACAAGAACAAACCTTTTCAAGCCTCTTGCTCATCTCCAGTGTAGCCATGAAAAAGTTGAAAGCTTTTACTTCTAATTAACCACACCTTACTCAAACGCTCACTGTGATGTAAATATAATTATATTTTATTGAAAAAAGCTAACTTACAAGCCAAAGTTTGCTATTCACTTCCAGTCTTAAATTGTAAGATTAACTTTTTAAAAAAAAGTTTGACATGACAGTATTTGCTAAAGAATATTAAATTTCCTGATGCCACAATGACTCATAAGAAATAGAAGGAGGTGGAGAACATGGAAGCAGAAGTTTATTATGTTTTTGTAACAAATCTCCACTATTTAATTTGTACAATAAATACAACTTCAGGATTTTGCCAGCAATTCCGAAGAAGACAAACATAACCTTCTGCCTTCTTCCTTCTCTTCCGGTTTGATTTTTTATTTTTATTTCTTTGCTTGCTTCTCTTTTTGGTTTTGCTGCTTTTTACATTTTTTTTTCCGGCCAGGATGTTCAGAAGAATGAAACATAGATACGGCACAGATGATAATGCGTTTGTGTGTACAGAATATTCACCCTGAAGTAACATTCCCTCTAAGGTGTGTGTGCACGCAGAGCTTCATCGGTGCCACGTAGCAGCAGTGGGGGTCAATGCCTATTTACTTCTGGGGTTTAAATGAAACCCTGCCCCCCCACGCGCAGATGGGCAAGGTTCTTCCCCAGTGGGGATGACAGTGAGAGGGACGATTGCCCTGAAGTATTCCCTACAATTAGTATCTTTTCTGCTGAATGCATGTACAGTAGTACCATCATATCTGCAGGGGATAAGTTTCAAGCTCATCTCCCGTGGATGGCTGAAACCACAGATAGTAGCAAACACTGCAGTGGTGAACTCAAAAGCAAAGGACTGCTGCTGGGTCCTTTGCTTTTGAGGTCCATGCACAGGAGTTGCCCTTTGCCTTCGCTACCTCTCTTCTGGCCCTCCATGGCTGATGAGTCACAGTCCACCTCAATGTGTCAGGGCTTGAGTGAGAGCAATGGGCACTGCTGCCTGTTTGTGTTGAGACGAGGAGTCAGAAGGCAAGGAGCAAGGTGCTGAGGAGCGATTTTTATTTATTTATTTATTTATTTGATTTATATCCCGCCCATCTGGTCTGGTCGACCACTCTGGGCGGCTTCCAATAAGGTGTATACCAGTGGTTCTTAACGTGGGCGATAATGCCCCCCAGGGGGCGATGTCATTTTTCAGGGGGGCAGTAGAATGAAAAGGGGCGGCGTGGGGGAACTGGAGCAGAAGGGGGGCGGTAGGAGGGTGCTGGAGCAAGCTAAACCTGTGAAGATGGCTGCAGCCTTTTTACAGTGTGCATTAATATATATTTTCCTCCAATTTTAATTTAGTTTCAGACTTTTTGTCTTGAAATTTTTAGTTCCTACATTTGTTTTTATGCCCTTTTTATATTTCGTTTTGCATCTTAAAATTCACTTGCAACTAAATAATTAAATGTTATTTTTTGGGGGGCATTTCATTTTCTTGGAATTTAATTTTGTTTTCAGGGGTCATTGGATTTAAGTGTCTATTTTCTCACTCCAGTAAGGAGTCTGGCCGCCACATTCTGCACCACCTGAAGTTTCCGCATCAGCTTCAAAGGCAGCCCCACGTAGAGCGCGTCACAGTAGTCTAATTTAGAGATTATGAGTGCATGTACTAAGGTAGTGAGCGCCTCCGTGTCTAGGTAAGGTCGCAGCCGGGCAATCTGCCAAAGGTGGAAAAAGGCGGTGCGGACTACCGACGTCACCTGCATTTCCATGGTGAGCGTCGGGTCCAGGTGTACCTCTAGGATGCAGACCTCACTCTTTGCGTCCAGGGCCACCCCCCCCAAACATGAGGGAGTTTCAGGGCCACCGACCCTCAGAACTTTCATCTTGTCCAGGTTCAGCCTCAGCCCGTTCTCCTGCATCCATTGCAGTACGGCCCGCAGGCAGCGCTGGAGGGACAGGACGGCATCACCTGCAGTTGGTGAAAAGATGTAGAGCTGGGTGTCATCAGCATATAGATGACACGATGCTCCATACCCCCTGATGACCCCACCCAGCAGCCTCATATAGATGTTAAACAGCATGGGGGGGTCGACCCCTGTGGAACCCCACATTTGAGACTCCACGAGGCCGAAATACTCTCCCCAAGCTGCACTCTCTGGGGGCAGTTCTCCAAGAGTGGAACCAGGCCAGAGCCAAGCCACCGATACCTAACTCAGAGAGCCTCCCCGGGAGGATACCATGGTCAACGGTATCAAAGGCCGCGGAGATGTCGAGGAGGACCAACAAAGATATTTCACCCCTGTTGGCCTCCCTCTATAAGTCATCGTGCAGGGCAACCAATGCCATCTCTGTGCCGTGGCACAACCTGAAGCCCGACTGAAATGGATCCAGGGCATCTGTTCATCCAGATGTACCTGAACCTGGTCTGCCCCTGCGTGCACATTGAAATCACCCAAGACCAAAAGCCGCTGAGATCCCAATAGTGCTGTGGAGACAAAGTCAGTCAACTCTGGAAGGGAAGTGGCTGGATCGCGGGGAGCACTGTAACCCAGCAAAATCCCAGTACCATCCCTGGACCCTATTGAAACGTGGAAGGCCTCCAAACCCAGATTCACCACTGCAGAGTGCCTAATAATCTTAAGGGTGTTTTTATATACAATGGCTACTCCCTCCGCTCCCTCCAGTCTACCCTGGTGCTGGACAGCATAACCAGGAGGACAGGCAAGGGCCAGGGGTGGACACCCTTCCCCACTGATCCATGTTTCGGTTATTCATGCCAAGTCTGCATGCTCTTCCAAAATAAGATCATAAGTACAATATTCAGTGCACATAATGGGCTGAATGGCTCAGAAAGGAATAATGATCATTTTGTGTTAACTAAGGGCTGTTTGCTGGGATTTCGTTATGTAGGCTAAGAATACAAATGCTTCCTTCTTTTTTGTCCTTGTTCTCCCTAAAGTTCCACTAACTAGAACCAGGCCAAAGAGAGAATACATAGCACGCATGACGCGCTGATGAATTGCCAGCAATCAAATGTCTTGCTGTCAGAAACCATGTGCTTGAAAGTAAGCAAAGGTGGCAAAGATACCTTCTCCCCATGCATGGGTGGCCAGGCAAAAACATGACAGGAATTAGATTTCAATGCAGCCAGAAACCAAAGATTTCAGAATGATGGCTTACTCTTGACAATGTGACCTCTGCCAGTTTTCATTAATTAGGGTCATTGACATGTCACATTTAAAGTAACCAAACTCTCTTATTTTAAAGCTCAGGAATTTACTTTGTTATCCTTCTATACAGGTCTTTACAGAAGTGGTATAAATATACCAGATGGGCGGGATATAAATCAAATAAATAAATAAAAAATAAGTAAACACCATTGACTTCAATGGTACATATTTTCCTGTTATAACTGAGCATATAGGACTGGAACCTTCAAAACATGTTTTTTCTGTGGTATAACACTGACTGAACCAACATTATATCTACTTCCAGAGGGAGCTGCGAGTGAAAACGTCAGTGAAGGCCATGTTGGTATATTCCACTTGGGATATCAAGTACTGTACAGAACACAAGAGATTTTACTTGTGAAATTCCTTTCCAAAAGAAGTTAAGCTAGCTTCTTCATTGCTCCATTCCTGGTAGTCATTATCATAGAATCATAGAATAATGTAGTTGGAAGGAGCCTATAAGGCCATCAAGTGCAACCGCTTGCTCAATGCAGGAAAACAAATCAAAGGATATCTGCCAGGAGAGTGTCTAAATTTCTCTTGAATGCCTCCAGTGTTGAAGTACTCACCACCTCTTGAAGTAATTGGTTCCATTGTCATACTGCTCTAACAGTTAGGAAGTTTTCCTGATATTCAGCTGAAGTCTGGCTTCCTGTAACTTGAGCATATTATTTCATGTCCTGCACTCTGGGATAATTTAAAACAGATCCTACCCCTCCTCTATATGACAGACTTTCAAGTATTTGAAGAGTGCTACCTTATCTCCCCTCAGTCTTCCTTTCTCAGGGCTATACATACCCAGTTCTTTTGGTCTTTCCTCATAGGGCTTGATTTCCAGCCCCCTAATCATCTTTATTGCTCTTCTCTGAATTTTCTCCAATTTGTCAGCATCCTTCTTGAAGTGTGGTGTCCAGGATTGGACACAGTACTCAAGATAAGGCCTAACCAGTGCCAAATAGAGGGGAACCAGTACTTCATGGGATTTGGAGACTATACATCTGTTAATGCAATGTATGAGTTTTGATTTTTAAAATGGTTCTAACATTTTTAATCTTATTTACCACCTAGCACAGCAGAAAATACAGAGACTAATTCCATCTGTAACACACTAAACACTTGTCAGTGTAAGATATGCTATTTTCTCTAAAACACACAGAAATACTGAAGTAGCACCAGGTTTACAATCGGTGGTGATGGGGATCTGGCATTTATTCATATTATATATATTTACAGGCTGTTCTGGAAACAATAAGGAATTTGATGAACACAGACTGTGTGGTTCCTGACTGGTTGCATGACATTATCCTGGGCTATGGAGACCCCAGCAGTGCTCATTATTCAAAAATGCCGAATCAGATCAACTGCCTGGATTTTAATGATACTTTCCTCTCCATCGATCACTTGAAAGCCAGCTTTCCCGGATACAACATTAAAGTAACTGTTGAAGATCCTCTATTGCAGATTCCTCCATTCAGGTGACTAAAAGCTGCTTATCTCTATTCAAGTGTATAATTATTTGTCAATAGAATTGTTTGTAACACGTGTGGCATTTACCCCGTGACTCCTGCTTGTTTCACCAAACAAAGAGCTCACCCGAGTATCCCAAGACGCCCTTTAACACGCTGCCACCAGTTGATCTCTTTATCAAACTATATTTCCTATGAAAGACTGAGGTCCATTCAGTACTGAACTTTTAAACAGAAACAGGTTTCTTGATTACAAATGGAGAGGGAAAGCAGGAATCAAAGTGCTTTGATTGTTCCTGCTTTTCCCCTCCACTTTCTTTCTCCCTCCACTTTGTTGCACTTTTTTGCAAAAAAAAGTGGAGGGGAAAAGCACTTTCCTTGTAAGAAAATGGATGGAGAAAGCAGGAATCAAAGGGCTTTGATCCCTCCTCCCTCCCTAGTTCCGTGTATAAGACGACCCTCAATTTATACTCTAAATATTTTAGACAAAAGTATAGTGGTCAATTGACTAAATGGGCGGGATATAACTGCAATAAATAGATTAGATAGATAGATAGATAGATAGATAGATAGATAGATAGATAGATAGATAGATAGATAGATAGATAGATAGATAGATAGATAGATAGATAGATAGATAGATAGATAGATAAGCATATACATGGAAAAATATGGTCATTTAGTGTCTACAAGTAACTGGTTGGAAAGAAAGTTTTACTGACAAAATATCTGCATTTGAAAAACAGTATTTTTTTCCAATAGGATAACATTCCCAGTCAGAAGTGAAGCTGGAAAGAAACGCAAAGAGAATGATGGAGAAAAAGTGGAAGATTCCAAAACTTTAATTGTTGAGCCACACGTTATCCTCAACAGAGGACCTTACCCATACAATCAACCCAAACGGTAATGTTGTTGCTTAGTCATTAAGTTGTGTCCGACTCTTCGTGACCCCATGGACCAGAGCACGCCAGGCCCTCCTGTCTTCCACTGCCTCCCAGAGTTGGGTCAAATTCATGTTGGTAGCTTCAATGATGCTGTCCAACCATCTCATCCTCTGTCGTCCCCTTCTCCTCTTGCCTTCACACTTCTCTTGCCAACATCAGGGTCTTTTCCAGGGAGTCTTCTCTTCTCATGAGATGGCCAAAGTATTGGAGCCTGAGCTTCAGGATCTGTCCTTCCAGGGAGCACTCAGGGTTTATTTCTTTCAAAATGGATAGGTAATGCTAGTGGTAATGTTAGTGTAGCTAAATTTAAGTTATCAATAATGGTAGATAGTAAATTGTGATGATCAGTCAACATAAAGTATTTAAATAAGCTTGATGTGTATCAATTTTATAAAGAAGAAAAATATGTGATAAATTAATTGGGGGGGAAAGCCCAATTAGTACTGGAGGGGGGAGAGAATTAGTATTGCATGGTTTAATGGGATAGAATGTTGGGGTAATTTTGTCTGATATGTTGTTCATGCATTCTAAAGAGACATTCGGCAGTAAAAGACATTTGTCCTTTCAAGCTTGGTGATAGCATATGATTTCTGACATTGATTAAATTGCCTGTTAGGTCAATGGCTTTGTGGTATCCTAATTACATATGATAAACCGTAAGTTAATAATTTCGGAATGGTTGTGTAATGAGTTGGAGTACAGTAATGTCATCTCAGCCCTAAAGGCAGGAATTTACTCTTCTTGCTGTATGTGAATTCTTTCATCTTTCCAAATCCTGAAGAAAACAGTTTTGTATTAGCAAGTCTCTAACTGAAGGGATGGGCAGATCTTAGTCTGTAGAGATTTATATAACGTTGATCTAGTGTGTCATGCCTTGGATTAACCAAATGTATTTTTATTCAATTTATAGCAATACAATTCAATTCACCCACACTCAGATTGAAGCTATACGAGCAGGAATGCAGCCTGGGTTGACTATGGTACTGCCTTACATTATTGCATGCTTACTACTCTTTATTGATACATTATCTTCTTTGGTGTTAGAAGTTCTTTGGAAGTCATATAGTTTATTCTATGCAATGTTTAAAATTAGATTACAGTGGTGCCTCGCTTGACGAGGAGAATTCGTTCCGTTCAAATCGCTGTTAAGCGAAATCCTCATCAAGTGAAATCAAGAAACCCATTGAAATGCATTGAAAACTGGTTCAGTGCATTCCAATGGGCGAAATACCTCAGCGTCCAGCGAAGATCCTCCATAGGGCGGCCATTTTCGGTGCCTATAAAGTGAGGAATCCGTCCTAAAACACAGCGGGGAGCCATTTTAAATAGCGGGTGGCCATTTTGAAGACCCGGCGATCAGCTGTAAAGATCGTCGTTAAGCAAAAAATCAGTTCCCGAAGCAGGGAACCGATTGTCGTTAAGCAATTTTTGCCTATTAAAACATTGTTTTGCAAGCACAAAAGCAATCGCAAAAACTTCATTGTCAAGCGATTTCCTCGTCTAACGAGGTAATCATCAAGTGAGGCACCACTGCGTTCCAAATCCATGATGTGATCTCAAACACTGAGTAGTTTCATAGTTTTCTAAAGACTTAAAATTGGAGGAAAGAAGAAATAGTTTGGACTTTTTCCTGATGAAAAGGATAGTTGTGTCAACTGGCCAAAACATGAATTTTTATGGGCTGAAGGATCTGTCTTTTGTTCCAAATGAAGAGCCAATGTGTTTCATTAACCAAAATAGTAATTGTAGAACTAGCCACACTAGACGCTGTTCCAAGTCCTCCATACAGAGCACGATACCATAGTCTTTCGAGACTGAAGGATGCCTACTACTAATTGTAGAACTACTACAAAGTTGCAGGCATTCTTGGAAGAAACTGATAGTCTGGATCTATTTCAGGTGAGGTTTAGGCTGTAGCATGGTACTGAAACAGCATTGGTTGCCTTCCAAGACGATTTTCTAAGGTGGGAAGAGAGGGGAAATGTAACCTTGCTTGATCCTTCTGGATCTTTCTGTGGCATTTGACACCACCAACTACAGTGTCCTTCTGGGATGGCTGTAGAGTTTAGGAATTGGGGGCTCCATTCTCCATTGGTTCTAGTCCTCTCTTGATGGCTGATCCCAGATCATACAGTTTTGGGATGCCATGTCCACCTCTTGGGACCTCTGTTACAGGGTCCCAGAGGAGGTGACTGTCTCCCTTTAACATCTATATGAAGCCATTGAGAGAAATCATACATAGATTTGGAGTTTGGTGTCACCTGTATTGTGATGATACGCAGCTCTGTCTCTCCTTTTCATTTGCAAGCAATGCTCTGCATGTCCTTGGGCTCTGCCTGCTTTTGATAATAGACTGGACTAGGTTCAATAAACTGAAACTGAATCCAGATAAGATGGTGATTCTACAAATTGGATTGCCTGACTTGTTAAGAGGGAAATTTACCAGGCTTCAGTGGGGTTACACTCCCCTGAAGATCAGGTCTGCAGCTTGGGGTACCCTTGGATTCAGCCCTCTCTATGGAGACTAAAATATCTGCTGTGGTCAGGAGTATCTACTATCAACTTCGGTTGATTGCTCAGCTGCACCCCAGCCTTGATAGGAAATGCCTAGCAACAGTGGTTCGCAAATTCATAATCTCAAAAATAGACTACTGTAATGCTCTCTATATAGGGCTGCCCTTGAAAACAGTGAAGAAAATTTAGCAGGTCCAGAATGTGACAGCCAGAATGATTACCAGGACTAGTAAATTAATCATATGTCGCCAGTCTTGGCACACCTTCATTGGCTCCCTGTTAGTTTTTGTGCTGAATTCAAGGTGCCGGTTGTGATCTATAAAGCCCTTAATGGTTTAGGGCCTCAATATTTGTTGGAATGTCTCTCCCAGAAATCAGCTGTCTCTTCCACCTCCTCTTCTCAGTCCACATTTTTAAAAGTTGCTACATTGAGGAAGGCCAAAAAGGTGAATACAAGGAATTGTGCCTTTTCAGTTTTAACCCCTAGTCTCTGGAATAAAATGCTGACATAGATATGGCAGCCTTCTTCTTTCCTCGTGTTGGAAAGATGGGAACAACCGAATTATTTAAAGCTGCCTGAATCTCTGGGATGCTGCTAATAACTTTAAATAAAATCAGTTCTACATTTTGAAAGAGATGCATATCTTTGTATCACAATTGTATATTTTGTTATTGTGGGGTACTAAGGGCTTGTGAGTTTTAATCTTGTGTACAGTGTACAGTTTACACTTTCATTTTCCTTTTTGGAGACTCAGCTCCTAAACAGAAACGTTAAAGTCTTGAGATGGAGCTCTGCCCAGCTGACAAAATCTCTACTCAGACCTCGTATTGAGGTTCTCTGGTTTCCTGCATCACTTGGTTTTTTACTGTCTCTGTGTGCCTGTGTGTTTATTCTCTCTACTTTCCAAATGCTTATGTGGGAGGTCCCTCTTTTTACAAAGAACCTCAGTTTAGAAAAGTCATGTTTCAGTTTTGCTTTGTTACCGCTCAGTTGTTTCCTCAAGTGTCTGCCCTTCAGACACTTGTGAAGGTGTGTATAATTATTACTATAATTATTATTGTGCATAATTATTACTTTGTTTTGTAGGTTGTGGGACCACCTGGTACTGGGAAAACTGATGTGGCAGTGCAGATCATATCAAATCTCTATCATAATTTCCCTGAACAGAGGACTCTTATTGTTACACATTCTAATCAGGTAACTAAACTTACATACCTTTATTCCTTGGAGTGGCCTTCATTTCCATTTCAGTACAGGTAGTGAGACTTTCAGAACTCCCCCGCCCCCCGAAATTCCTGATGTAGTAGTTCATAATGGGAAGCTTCTGGTCCTTGATGTAACTAACTAGCATCTTATCAGCTACCAGATTTATATAATTTGATTTGATTTAAATGCTGCCTTTGTCATTGGGGACCCAAAATGGCTCAGAACAATTAAAACTATACAATGATCACGGTTTTAAGATACCACAAAAACTATATTTAAAACAAGTAAACATTTGTCAAGACTACAACCAAGTTTAAAAACAATTTAAGGAGCATTTACCGTATTTGCCGGCGTACAAGACGACTGGGCGTATAAGACGACCCCCCCCAACATTTCCACTCTGTAGAGTGGACGGCTCTGCTGCGGTGCCAGTGACAGCTGCCCTGGGCTCTGCCCAGGCCCGCCCTGGAAGTTCATGGCCAGCAGTGAGGAGGGCGAGGAGGAGGGGAAGCGGCCGGGCGGGTGCGGCAGCGGAGGAGGAGGGGAAGCGGCTCTCTGGCAGTGAGCAGGCAGCTGGCTCAGCGGCGCACACCTGCCTCCCCGACCAGCGCGGCTCCGTGTCACTCACTCAACGGCAGTGGCGGCGGCTCCTTCCTGGCCCAACTGAAGTGCACCCAATGTATAAGATGACCCCCCCACTTGGAGGCATGTTTTTTGGGCCAAAAAAGTCATCTTATACGCTGGCAAATATGGTAATTAAAAGCAAATATAGCATTCCTGAGACCCCACTTATTGCTTAGAAGTCTGATTATAAAACTGGATGCTACTACACATTCAAAATGCTGCCATCTCAAAGCAGCAAGCAGCATCTTATAAACTGTAAATACGTTTGACATTATCTTATTTCTTTGTTTATAAAATTTATATGCTAATCTATATCCAAGATTTTGGGCTAATGGACAGTAGTCTTTTAAAAATACAAACGTTGGTGTCCTCTTGCTTACGTAGTTATATAAGGGCAGTTGTGCAAATGATATGAGTTGCCAAAAGACAGCCAGGAAAATGGACAGCCACTTGTGCAAATGTCCTTACAAGTAGCATTTGGCCAAAACAACAGCCATAAAACATTCCATTGATATAACAGTGACTGGCTTTTGTTAGTTTGGAAATTCTTGTATGAAAAGAAATCTCCTCAATAGAGGCAGAACTAAGGCAGTATAAGCGCATGGCTGACCTCATTTGGAAGGGCATTCTGGCAGATGAGTGGATGCCCTGCTGGATCTTCTCCTGATGGACTCCAGATGCATCTCAGACCTTTGTGAAACTACAAAGAACATCTCCTTGGAAGACTTCAGTAATTAAGCAAGATGTTAAGGGAGATGCTGTGTCCTCAGATTTGTTTTCTTCACTCTTGACTCTGTTACAGATTCTTTAAGCTTCTTTACAGCTACTTATGGGGTGGTATATCAGAGAAAGAATGCGATGAAGACCAGTAGGATTTCTAATGTTATCTAGCTTAATATTTATTGAGCTCTCAGTAAATCACATCAGTACGTCCATTCATTCATACTTGCATCTGTGTGTGTATATGAGTGTACACACACGTACACACACGTACACACACACACACACACACACACACACACACACAAGGGGTACAGGGAACATAGATGCATCTGTGTGGGTGTCTCTCCCCGTGGGCTGCAGCCCTCCTTTTGGAAGGTTTTGAATCTTTAAAGTCCTCCCTCCTGAAGTTGCTTTCACATTATTTCCAGGTCATGTCTTCTACAGCTGTTTTCTTCGGATTCTTGTTGACTCTTTGTTTTTTATCAGTTCCTTATCAGTTCCTCCATCTTCATCTAAATGTTACTTGCATGTTGAGAGATAATATGTCTCTGAATATCAGTTGCTGCTTTTAAGAGAAGGCTTATTGTCTTACTGGCCTGCTTGTGGGCTTCTGAGAAATTGACTTCCCTTGAAAACTAGATGATAGACCACAAAATCCTTTGGTCTAATTGAGTAGTGGTTTGTTTGTTTGTTTTCATTTTGTGCTGAATTAGATTGAAATATTAGGATCCATAGAATCACAAAGCAGGCTTTTCCAATGCTGAATAGGACTCTGTATAAACATCCCCTTCATTTGGTTTTGCTTCTTACCAAAATAGGAGTGGTTCTGCCAGCATGCTGGGTTTCCCTGTAATAGCATCTGGATTTCTAAAATCTTCCCTTCTGTTGCTCTTGTCAATCTCTAGGCCTTGAACCAGCTGTTTGAAAAAATCATGGCTCTAGACATTGATGAGCGTCACCTCCTGCGTCTTGGTCATGGAGAGGAAGAACTGGAGACAGAGAAAGACTTCAGCAGGTCAGAATACAGCTAATAAAAAACTAAACTATGCAAACAGAAAAACTGAATACATGACATTTAACCTACTCTTGCACACACTCCATGTAAGCAAGACATTGTTATAGAAAACTGGTTAACTCCCTTTTTTCCAACAGTAACAATTTTCTGTTGTGTCAAATTTTGATTTCTGTGTACAGCTAAGACCACTTTATTGCTAGATATTACAGCCTGTCCTCACCTCTCACAAGTTAGATGCTTGTTTGACTATTTACTCTGAGTTTTAAAAAGGGAATATGCTTCAAATTGTGCATAAACTAAAATGAAAAATAGAACATGGGGATGGGAAGATTACATGGAGAATCTTTGAAAGAGCTATATCTTGAAAGGTGTTCTATAAATAACAATAATATCAATAAAATACTAATTTAAAATAATAGTGCTGAAGATTCTCTTTGATTTCAGCCCGATTGTTTGAAAACATTATTTCCTCTTTAACATTTTGAATCATTTGCTTAGATCTGTTGAATCAATTCTGTATCTCAGTAGCTTTCTCATAACTATTACTACTGTTGCTCCTGCTTCTACCTCTCCTGGACTGATATAATTATCATGGCTATATTGAGTCTGGACAGTGGGTATCTTCAGTGCAACCAAACAAAGAAACCCATTGTTTGTATGCAAGTCTGTAGGGTGCTCACAATATGTACATTTAGTAGAAGCCCGATTTTGCATAATTGTCTTAAGTTTAGCTTCTATAACTAAACCTATATGATAACCTTGGATGTTCCATGGGCATGCAGCCAATCAGTATACAGTGGTGCCTCGCTTAATGGGTGCCCCGTTTAATGATGAAATTGCATAGCGATGAAGATTTTGCAATCGCAAAAGCAATCGCATTGCAATGTTTTAAATAGGGAAAAATTGCTTTGCGATGATCGGTGCCCTGTTTCGCTTACCAAGCATCGCAAAGCGATGATTTTTAACAGCGGATTGGCGGTTCCAAAATGGCCATCGGGTAAAAAATGGCCGCCAGCTGTGTTTTCGTGCTGATTCCTCGCTTACCAGGCAGCGAAAATGGCCACCGTATGGAGGATTTTCGCTTTAAGGTGAGTTTTAAGCCCATAGGAACTCATTAAACGGGTTTTAATGCATTCCTATGGGCTTTTTAAAATCACATAGCGACGAAATCACTTTGCAGCTATTTTTGCTGCACAGGTTATCGTTGCTATGCGAGGCACCACTGTATATGTTGTTTCTTTGACATTGCAATGAAAATGTCCATTCCTTTTCACACACTGCAGGCACCTCTGTATTTGTTGTTTCTTCAACGTGAACTTTGTGAATCACACATTTGGGTCAGATCCGCGCCTGCGTGGAACCTTCGGAATCTTCTAGAGCTTTTGATCTGAAAGACAGATAGTATAGATTGCCCCCTATGCGCATGTGTCACCTCTCTTCCCCCCCAGTCCCTTTTCATCTGCCATTGCGAACGGAACGTTTTTGGTTTGAGCTCTTCTCTGGTATTTCGAACTGTGTTTTCGCTTGACTATTCTACTTTCTATTTTCCCCTGATATTGGACTATTTGACATTGCATTGAAAATGTCCATTCCTTTTCACACACTGCTTTTGAAACTTCTTCAGAATGTGTGTATGTGTGTGTTTTATAAATATATTTTAAAAAACATCCAATAGAAGTTTTATTTACCGTACTCCTTCACAAAGAAAGTTTAAGTTAAAGTGAAGCTCTACAGGCTAAAGAGGAACTGGGAAACAGTTTGTGAAACAATATGAAAAGCTAATTGAGAAATTCCAACTCTTCAGCGCATGATGGTCACAGGTCTTTTTTCCCCTTTTATCATAATTCATGCTTTGTTTGGTAGCCAAAGAAAGTGGTTTCAACTACATATCTCATGTATTAGTGTATTAATCTGATTGGCAGATATGGAAGAGTAAACTATGTCCTAGCTCGGAGACTGGAGCTTCTGCGGGAAGTTGGCCGATTACAGGAGAGTTTGGGTGTCCCAGGAGATGTTTCCTATACATGTGAAACAGCCGGCCACTTCTTCTTATATCAAGTAAGACATTAATAGAACAGTTTTATAGGCTAGGATGAAAGACATGCACTATGGTTCATTGCCATATCTAACACCAGGCCACTGATAATTACTAGAACAGTAGATATGGGACACAGTTGGTTCTGTACAACCCATTGGTTCCATTGAGAAGGAATGTACTACACTAGCTCTTGGACTGGTGTAAATTGTGGAATATTAGAAGAATTGGACAATAAAGAAGACATAGAACCACTACTAGTGAAATGCACTATCAGAACAGTCAGGACAGCAGAGCTGTCTGCTGCCAACCAGGAAAGATTGTCATAGCTGGGTTTCCCTCTCCACTGACCACATCTAGCAGCTTTATGGCTCTCCAGGACGCCTAGAATCATTCCCCAAACAGATGTGAGCACAACATACTAAGAATCCTGGAGATGGGAATTAGCCTGAAGTTCTCAGAATTGGACTGAAAATCAGATGTGTTTCATTTTAAGATAGAGTGGCAAATGGAGGTATTATTATACTGTGTCTTGTTTTTCCTGTTAGTGTTTTCACACTGTGTAAGATGAGTCATTATTAGAAAGGCCAGTGTTCTTATTTTTATATGAAAGTTGATGAGGAGTCTGAATTGAGTTTTCCTTAGTTCTTTGTCTTGGTTACATATTATAGAGTATCATATATTTCATTCACCTTGAATACTGGAAAACACATTCTGGAATGAAATAAAGAAAATATTTTGTTTTCTTATATTTTTCCTTGAATCCTGGTTAAAAGGTCCACAGTTGCTTACCAAAACATATTCTTATAGTATGTTTGTGGATATTTTACAGAGTGCAATCATGTTAATAAATAACAGAGAAGATATGCCCATTGTCCTGGGGTCCAGAGAATACCAATACAAGAAATTACAATGCAAGGGGGAAATGCTGACATAATTATACAGTGGTGTCTGAGCTTTTCCCTTTCAACTACATCCCCTGTCTTTATAACTTTCTAAATCAGGGGTCTCCAAACTACGGCCCGCAGGCCACATTCGGCCTGCCTTGCTGTTTTATCTGGCCCATTCTCTTCAGCCCATCCCATGCAACAGGGAGTGTGGGCATCTGTTGGGGGTGCATGTGGGGGGGGAGCGGGCATGCAGCTGTGCATATACTTGCACGTGTGTACGTTCATTCAGCCCTCAAAAATGTTGAAAGTATACAATGTGGCCCTCATGCTCAAAGGTTTGGAGACCCCTAATTAAATAAATACAATTTTATTATCCTGCGCATTGAATCCCACCCATATTGAAATCCTCTGAAACTGATAAGCAGAGAGAGGGCACAAGAGACTGGTGTTTTTTGTGCAAAGAACAAAAGTAACAGTGCACTTATGTAGTACAGAGTTCACTAGATTTTGGTCAAAGGAAACATAAGATGGCAAAATGCAGTGATGTATTGTATTTCCTACTTCTCTGCCTCAGGTAATGTCTCGTTGGGAAGAATATATGAGCAAAGTGAAAATTAAAGGCAGCAAACCTCCAGGTGTGGCTGATATCAGCAGCTTCTTTCCTTTTCACCAGTATTTTGCAAATGCCCCTCAACCGATTTTTAAAGGTAGATCTTATACTGAAGACATGGAAATTGCAGAAGGGTGTTTTAGACATATCAAGAAGATATTTACTCAACTCGAGGTAAGGTTTCTAAGACCAGGATACCCTTGCATCCCAACTTTTTAATTACAGAAGCAGGAAACGGTTCTGATTAATGGAAATAAATGACATAACTGTCTATACTGAATTTTCATAGGTACCTGTAAATTGGATCATAGTAAATAAGAACTGAAAGCTCTTCAGAAAAGATATTAAATGCCATCTTGAAGTTTCAGTTTTCTGACGAAAAATGTAGAAACGGCTCTAGCTTTTATTTCTGTGCATATATAAAGAAGGTAAAGGTAAAGGTTCCCCTTGACAATTTTTGTCCAGTCGTGTCCGACTCTAGGGGGCGGCGCTCATCCCGCTCTTCAAGCCATAGAGCCAGCGTTTTGTCCGAAGACAATCTTTCCATGGTCACATGGCCAGTGTGATTTGGACACGGAACGCTGTTTACCTTCCCACCGAGGTGGTCCCTATTTATCTACTCGCATTTGCATGCTTTCGAACCGCTAGGTTGGCGGGAGCTGGGACAAGCGACGGGTGCAAGGCACCACTGTAAATGCCATCTTGAAGTCTCAGTTTTCTGAGGAAAAATGTAGAAATGGCTCTAACTTTTATTTCTGTGCATATATAAAGAAGACTACTTATTAAAGTTTGTATCAGTAATATTTCAAGAGGATAAGAAAGATGTATGAGGCAAAAACCTATGAAGCAACAGTGTCCGCATTTAAGTGCTCAATTATAGGGAAGGTGTGATGATCGGAGGCAAAAAATTAGTGTAGATCATTTTGTCAGACAAGTTGTTTATGGCTTCTGGGATTTCTCCCTTTTCTGTGTTTTGATTATGTCCTAATGGACCAGACATCATATGATCAAGTACTAGAATATTAATTAAAAAATTCAAAGATCCTCTGCAAAAATAAATCAACAATTATTGGGCTTTTCTTACACTGTAAGAGTACAAGACAGTCTTTTGGAACTAATCTAATGGGTGTTAATTTTACTTCTTTCATGTTAGTAAATATTATTTTCTGATTTTGTGGAGCTTAAGTGCTTTCTTGGAGCAGTTGGGGTTCTCTCTGTCTCTCTCTCTCACACACACAAAGTTGGGGTTCACTCTGTCTCTCTCTCTCACACACACACAGAGAAAGAGAGAGAGAGCGAGCGTGAAATTTAAGGCCATTTTCCGTATTTTTGAGTTGGCACAGTAAAGGTATTATAGTGTTATGTGTTTTAACTAGACATGGTATGGCCATTTTCCGTATTGCAGTTTTTGAGTTGGCACAGTAAAGGTATTACAGTGTTATGTGTTTTAACTAGACATGGTATACTAGCCTGGGGATACAAATATCAGCATTTTACTGGTTCAGTCCCTGCCCCCCAAACAGATCCAATTACTGGTTGCTGCACGGCACACACGGCCAGCGTCATTCTTGTCGCACCAATCTCAGACGTAGCTTGGCTGGCATCACCCTGCACAGCTGACCACTCCAGTGAGGAGATGGGCTGACGATTCTCCCCGCTCAGCTGTTGAGCTGTTGGCTGCATGGGGAGGCAGGGAAGACCAACCAGGCTACTTCCATGATTAGCACAATGAGAACTATGCCAGACCTGCTGGTTCAATGAGAACTAATTAGACCTCACAGATTGTGAGGGAGGGACTGGACTTTCCAGGCACCTCTGATGCCAATATTCGTATTCGTACCCCCTGGGATACAAATGCAAATATCTCATGTCTAATATTAACCTTTTATTTTGGAATAATACTGGATACACCTGCCTTTTTAAAAAGAAGGGAATTTGTATGGTTCCTTATGCCTGCAAATCTTTGTCTGTTAATTAGGAAGCTACATATTTTCTTCATTGGTCAGAGATGCTTCCAAAACATGCTTGTTTTTATAGTAAATCTATATAAATGCTACTGCAAGAGGGGCTGATTAGAGCAGTAGGCATAGATAATCTATGGGAAACCCTATTGATTTTTGAAGGAATAAAGAGTTTTGTACAGAGAAATCTTGTCTCTGTACAAGTTAAATCGAAGTGGGAAGCATTCATGTGGGAGCCCCAGGTATGCAATCAAAGCAGCCACAGCTGTCTGGGTTACAACTGCTGTTTTGGGTGGTAATTTGACAGTTACATATTGTTCTGCATTCTGGAACAGAACTATGAGTGTCATCTATTTTCTGCAGGAATTCAGGGCATTCGAACTACTACGCAGTGGGCTGGACAGATCCAAATACCTGCTTGTAAAAGAAGCAAAGATCATTGCAATGACTTGTACGCATGCTGCTTTGAAACGTCATGATTTGGTCGAGTTGGGTTTCAAGGTAATGCCACAGTGGAGAAGGTTGAGATTTCCATGTGTTTCTTAAGAGTCATCTGCTGTCCATACGAGAAGGAGATCAGCTTCTCTCTGCCCCTCCTTTCCCCCAGATAGTACAGTATCAAAGATTTGAAGTGGGTGTAGCTTCTTAGGGTGCGTTAAAAGCAACAACATGATAAAGAGTACATTTTGGAGTGGCAATGACAGGTTGGGCACTGATCTTGGAATCCCCACTGCCTCTCTCTCAATAAATAACCTCCAGCCAAAACAAATTGACAGTGGCACCGTCTTTGTCCATTGAGGTCTGAACAGTGGAAAGTGAGGAAGAAGCAACCCTAATGCCCACTCCACCCTAAGTCAACATCCAGATAGGTGGAGGGAGATCCCATTTCTAGCACTTCTACCATCTCCAATAGAACCTGTTTGTCAGAGCTAACTAATTCAGAATTGTTCTTCTAATCCAAGTCTTACATTAGCTAAGAAGCTGAGAACAATCTCAGAATCTTGTGTTTAACTCTTGATGGTCGGGAGCTAGCCTATGAGCTGCCTCCAACTGTTGCAAGTCTATTGCTTTCAAGGGCCCATTTCTGTTTCATGCAAAATTCTGAAATCTTTTAGCAGATGAAATGCATATTGTGAAGTATGAATGCAGGCATGCTAAGTTAAGAATATCTATGGAAATAAATTGTCAGTCATTGAAGAGAAATACTAATTATACAAAAACTTTATTGGAATTGTTCAGCGTATTGGGTAATGAAGCAGTCTACAAATGCAAGAAATAAATAAAATAAGTAGTTCCATGGAATATTCCATTAGGTTTGTAGCAGATATAGCTTCACTATATAAACCAGACACATCCATTTGTTTCAGTTGTGGTCTTAGGTTATGGAAGTCAGAAATTGGAACAATACCACCCAGAAAGTCAGATCTTACATGTTTACTGTACGCAGATCATATTATGCGTATATTTCTTTTAATACATTACTATGCCCAGTATACTAGTAAGCTGGTTACAAGCTTCCTAGATTAATTATTGCCATTTTCACTATATATAGTGTCTGCTCTTACACTCATGTGTGTCTTCTTAATTTCCTAGTATGATAACATCTTGATGGAAGAGGCTGCTCAGATACTAGAGATTGAAACTTTTATACCACTTCTCTTACAGGTGAGAACACAAACATTCCTATAGTTTATGGTCATTTTATTTAAATTATGTTATTCTTTGCATTTCAGGTTGTCTTGGAGCATATAAAAATAGGGAGACTTATTGTAAAAAGAAAAAAAATGTGTTCTGGTTGACAGACATGTACAAGTAGGGCTAGCCTATGAGCTGTTGTGGTGTTAAAATATTAGGCTAGGAATTGGCCATAAGACTCATGGATGATCTTGGACAAGTTAGACTTTGTTAACTTGACCTGCCTCACAAGGTTGTAGTGTCAGTAACACAAAGAGGAACAAAGCCATAGTACCACCTGGATTATTGGAGGAATTGTGAGATAATTATAAATAAAATTGAGAAGTCTTCCGAACCTTATAACGGGAACCTAACAGTATAGGTTTAAAATGCATCTCATATTTGACATCTGAGTTAATAGTAAGCTATCTGTGATGCTCTTCATTGGGTGACAAGGTCACATATATAATACTTGAGCAATAACATCAGAGTGCTATTTAACTTTACACTCTTTGATAGTTTCATTCTGTTGCCCATCATCGCTGAAATTTATCCCAGAAAAGGTTAGTTTCAGTATGAGATTATATAACATTTTCAGCCATGTCAGAGTAAATTTGGATATCAAGGTCTAAATGTTTTTACTTTTGAAATGCTTCTATGGATCACATAAACTTAGTATATATATTTTTTTTCTGTCAGTGTCTTTGTAGTGCATTTAACATAGCTGAAATGTAGAACTCAAGCATGCTGTAGCAGATTGGTTCAGTCATTGTAACGCAAGGTTGATTGTTGATCAGCAGTGGTTTATTTACATCTTGGTTGCATTTACTAGAATCCACAGGACGGGTTCAGCCGATTGAAAAGATGGATTATGATCGGGGACCATCATCAGTTGCCGCCAGTCATTAAAAACATGGCTTTTCAAAAATATTCCAACATGGAACAGTCTCTTTTTACTCGTTTTGTTCGTGTGGGAGTGCCAACTGTTGACTTGGATGCCCAAGGAAGAGCAAGAGCAAGGTAGGGGGAATGTGTAAGGATAAATTTAGATTATAGGCGAAATTCTTGGATGGCGGTAGGAAAATTCCTACCATTATCAAAGTCTGCCTTGAAGGCTATATATGCAGTAGCTCTAACCTTTCTCATTAGCCCTGAGATGGATTTTATTTGTTGTTCTTTTTATCCATGCAAATGTATCCATTTTACAATGCAATTCAAACCAGCTTTCCATTACATGCATGCAGTGCCTAGCAAAGAAGGTCCAGCTAGCACTGAGGGGTGACAGAGCAAGAAGAAACTAGCAGTGTTCATAGTACCCCCAAACAACAGTACCAGCAGCAACTTACAGTCCAGAATACCTCACCCCTGCAACAACAGGGCAAGCTTTCGGAACATTGTCTTGACAAGAATGGCACACCAACCCAGAGGAAAGACATGGTGGAGGTGTACATGTAGGAGCCCTGCAAAACAAAAGAGATGGGTCCCTTGTCTTACCGGGCTGAGACGGGTCTGTTTGGGGAGGTCTGGGCAAACATCAGTGGAGCTGCTGTCTTGCCCATCAACTAATGTGCCAATGAGAGATCGTTCTCAGGGAGGGAAATTGTCAGCCCACACTACTCATGCCTGGATTTATAGAAAAACATATTTTCCTGAAGGTAATAATTATTGCTACCATTGGTGGGCTTCCCTGAAGTCCCCTTTAAGTAAGAGAAAATGGCACACACTGCTCATATTAAGTATGCCATGCTTCAGTCCGCTGCCCCCCTCCTGCCTCTTTCTTTACTCCAAGTGCTACTCCAGGATTGTGCTCACCCACTCGACTGTACTGAGCCCCTTGCTGTTGGCACAATTCCCACCACAGGCTATCTGCTACTCCAACTTGCCTGCCCATGTTGCCCAGGGGATTTGCTCACTCCCTAATGTGACCTGTTTCAGCTCCTATAAACAAATAATGAGAAGGTTCCATTTTGTTACTTAACATTTTTCCTGGTACCTATATACTACTCTTATTGGGATTTTTGAAAATGTATGTTCTTCATTCTTGTTGTGTCACTGTAGTGCAAAATGGCTTGTTTTATACTGCTGCGTTTGCTTTTTATGCATTAGAGATACTAGACGAGTGCCATATCTTTAAATTAATTTAAAAAGAAGCACAAAGATACTAAAGGGTGTGAGTACTTAAAAACTGAACCCATCAATAACTATGTTCCATTCTATTTCTCTTTAAAGTCTATGTAATCTTTACAACTGGCGTTACAAGAACCTGGGTAACTTGCCCCATGTACAACTCTTGCCTGAATTCAGAACGGCAAATGCTGGTTTCTTGTATGACTTCCAGCTGATAAATGTAGAGGATTTCCATGGTGTTGGAGAATCAGAACCCAATCCTTATTTCTATCAGGTAAGAGATATGAGTAATTGTCCACGCTATGGGACAAAATCTTATTGCCCAAAATGTGTGTACAACTCAAGGTTATAGTACTAGCACTAAGGTGGAAGTCCTGTCCCTGAAGCAGTTCTACTGTTGCGTTCCGCACTGGGACATACCGGGGACTTAAAACTAGTTGGACAATTCCATAGCACAATTCCCTGTTTCCTGGCCACTTTACACTGGCATGAATACTAAATGTATTTTCCTTAAGATGTTATTTTTTCATAGCATTAATTGTGAAAACAGTGCCAAGCATAGTGTTTTTTTTTGACGCTAGTTAAAATTGGAAGTAATAAGCAGCAGACCACCCCAACATATCCCCACCACCATGCACAGATACACAAATAGCCAGTATCCCATTGTGTCACTCTGTCTCCACAGTGGAAGTGACATCACTGGCTCTGACAGATTACAGCTATTTACAGAGTTCTTTTTTTTAATTTCAGGGTATGCACAACTCACACACAATGATACAAAGTTGTGCACACCCTGAAATTGAAAAAGGAGTTTATCAGCTAACAGTCTGCTTCAGCCACTGACGTCACTTCATTGCACAGGAGGAGCTATGTTGGCTGTTGTATAGAAGAAGAAATTTTGTAGGTAACAGAGTGTTTGTACATAAAAGAACTTGGCTGAAAGTGGTACTATTCCTTTTTGGAAGTGTTTTGCTAGATGTAGCTCTAATTCTATTTGACAATTCAAACACTTAATAATGTTCTCTGCCATTGAAAGAAGGAGATGGTTGTCTTTTAAGTATCTTACTTGGTACTTCTTTTTGCACTGCAAGCCAATTATTTTTGCTTAAGCTGATGTTAAGGAAGTAATCAAGCTATTGTTAAGATGTTATAGATATCTATCTCTATAAAGGAAGACAAGGTGTATTAACGTAGTGTGTTGAGGTCATTCAGACTGCACAGTTTTCTCTGTTATTTTGATTTTCCTTTCTTGAAATAGAGGATCCCACTCAAGTCACTTGGGAAAGTTGCTATACAGGAGTTTGGCTGCTCATTTTCCTTGCTTTGGTATTTTTCCCCATAATAGCTATACAAATGTTCTGTAAGAAGACATATTAAACAAATCCATGCTTGTAAAATTTTGCAGAATCTTGGTGAGGCCGAATATGTTGTTGCCCTGTTCATGTATATGTGCCTGCTTGGATACCCTGCAGAAAAAATAAGTATCTTGACAACATACAATGGACAGAAACACCTGATCCGGGATATAATTAATCAGCGTTGTGGGAATAATCCAATCATTGGAAGACCAAACAAGGTAACATTCCAGATACTAATCAACTACTTAATTCTTGTTTCATCAAAAATACTGGATATCATTCTGTACATTATTTATTACTTTTATTAATTTTAAATATTTTAACCTTTCCTTTCTTCTTAAAAAGAACCCAGGGTGATTTACATCATTAAAAGACAATATTTAAAGCTAACAACAGTAAATATACAAATACTAAAAAAATACTAATCAACAAATACCACATTAAAAAACAGTAAGCAAAAGCAACGCCAAAGCACATTCAAACCAATAAGGTACAACAATCCATTTAGAAACTGTACTCGGACCGCCAGTCACTCAGGGAAAGTTTGCCTGAAGAGAAAGGTCTTTGCCACTTGTGGAAGGACAGCAAAGATGGGGTCTTCCTGTGGTGGGATGGAGTGGGGAGTTCCAAAGTCTGGAAGCAGCAACAGAGAAGACCCTCTCCCGTGTCCTAACCAAATGCACCTGTGAAGGTGATGGGACCGAGAGGAAGGCCTCTCCCGATGATCTTAACATTGAGTTGACTCATAAAGGTATGTGCAGTCCTTGAGATAGCTTGGATGCAAGCTGTTTAGGGCTTTATAGGTTAGAACCAGCACTTTGAATTGTGCTCCGTATTAGATTAGCAGCTGGTGGAACTGCTGTTATGCCGGGTATGTGATTTAATATTCTTGTCAAATGACAGATATGAAAAAATAGGCTTTGAGATGAGAGCTCTTGCATTCTTTATTTTATTCATTTATGTATTTCATTGGATTTCTATCCCACCCATCTAGACCAAAGGTCTACCCTATGAGATAATGTGGCAAAATCAAAAGATTTTATATGCAAATACATATTTTTAGTCATTAGTTTATAAAAGGGATAGCTTTGCATTTTGGACTATTTTTAAATCTTTCAAGAATTATTCAATAGGGGGGGAGAAATTAATCCAGGAAATTATAATGTCTCATTACGTTGCTTAGGCTTTCACATTAGTTCCATTTTCTGCCTTGAGGCTGTTATTTATGAGTACATTAATTAAAATTAGAAAACTATAACAATACAAGGTTGCATTTCAGGAATCAAGTTATTATAAAAGAGAGAAGATAGTGAAATTTTGCACAGTATTTTAAATAGAACTTTAAATTTGCTGTAAAGCAAAAATAAGTACTTTTTTACATTCTAGACCCACTTCCCTATTCTCAGTATATATTATTTTCATATTTTAAATACATGCATATCGAAGTCTTTTGATGTGAATGTACACAAACGTATTTCCTGAAGTCCTGCTGCTTAGCTTAGTAAGGCACAACTAGAATAGGCCCATTAAATTGACAGAACCTATGGAAGAGGTGACTTACCAAATCCCCACTAGTTCACTCAGGCTACTCTAATTGTAGCTTACTACACTAAGCAACAATATTCCATCCATTGTTTATATGCCTTCAAGTTGTATCCAAGCTGTAGCAACCATAATAGGGTTTACAAGATATGTGAAAGATTTAAGGAGTGGTTTTACCATTGCCAGTGAGTTTCCATGGTTAAGCAAGAATTTGAACCCAGGTGTTCTGAGTCCTGAAGCTGCGGCCCCAATACTTTGGCCATCTCACGAGAAGAGAAGACTCCCTGGAAAAGACCCTGATGTTGGGAAAGTGTGAAGGCAAGAGAAGAAGGGGATGACAGAGGATGAGATGGTTGGATAGTGTCATCGAAGCTACCAGCATGAATTTGACAAAACTCCGGGAGGCAGTGGAAGACAGGAGGGCCTGGCGTGCTCTGGTCCAAGGGGTTATGAAGAGTCGGACACGACTAAACGTCTAAACCACTAGTTCTTAACCTTGGGTTACTCAGGAGTTTTGGACCGCAGCTCCCAGAAGCCTTCGCCACCAGCTGTCCTGACTGGGGTTTCTGGGAGTTGCAGTTCAAAAGCATCCGAGTAACAAAGGTTAAGAACCACTGGTCTAAACAACAACAATGTCCTGGGTCCTAGTCTGATGCTATCCACTAGACCAGTGGTTCTTAACCTTTGTTACTCAGGTGCTTTTGAACTG